ATAATGACAATTCAGGATTGACACATATAAAAAAAATTAGTATGTAGCTATCTCAAAGATGAGCTGTCAGAACTAAACCTGTGAATCAGTCCAACCTAATAAAAACTGGAATATATGTCAAGTGATAAAGCAGGAGGTGACTTTTAACTGAAATTAGCATCCAAAGAAGTCAGTAGAGAGGCATGCCTCACACACAAAAGCGAACAAGATAGTATCACATGATCAGGTCTAGGTGTCCCTTTTGCAACGGCTACAAAAAGATGTTTGCAAGACCCAAATCAATGGCTTCACTAAGAGCACTAAACCACTCAAAACTACCTCAGAGTTGAGAACCCTGAACCTTTCAAAGTTTTTCTTGAATTTTAGTATTTACTATGCTAAACAGCTGACTTGAACTTTTACAGTATTCAGTTCAGCCTGTAGGAGGCATTTAAATATAGATGATTTTACAATAGTGAAATCTATTTGAATCAGAACATTTTGGTTCACTTACAAACATCTGTATAAAATAATTTTTGATGCATAATGTATTTTTTTCAGGGTCATTTGCTCACGGGAGTTGCTGATGGAGAAAAACTGTCCCCATTACATTTCCACTCCAGCCAGACTCACATTTGGTCAACCCGATACTTCTGAGGCTTGTGGTTGGAAGAGCAATGGCTGTGCAGGCCAATGACAACTGTAATCATGTGAACCGTATCCAAGAGCCAATTTCTGACACAACTCTCTAATAAACAACTAATAACTAAAAGCTGTAAGTTAAAACAGTTAGCTTCCTACAAACACTCTCCCATCTTCGAAAAGAATCAGTGGTACAATGAACCTTCAGAGCATAATTCTTTAATGTAGTTTCTTGTGGAATCTGAGAGGTAAATCACTCAGAAGTGTATCCGTATTTCAAGAAAAAAGTTAGACCATATTGACCTATATTACAGTCTTGATTTCAATTCCAGAGCACAATTTCGTATGCTGATGTAAAATGTTTCTGTATTATAGAAATCTGATTCCTGCTCCAAACTGAACACCATCACATATCCTGAAAAGAAACAAATAATGAACAACATAAGTGATACAGAAGGTACTGATGAAATTAAAATCGATTCTCCCTACCCCCAAATTCCCAAGGTTTTCAATATTTCGAAAGTTACAGTTCAAATTTTTGCTTACAAAGGCTTTTTTTAAATAAATGCTTTGACAATCTGTCATCCATATGGAGTATTTACATCTGCAAAATAAAGCCCATAATTTTCAAATTGCTACTATTAATTAACATTTCACATGAATGACGAGTAGGAACATAATCCAACTCCTGTACAGAGATCTCGCACAGTATTCACAGGCAAGAACAGGCCCCCTAAAGCTTTTCTATGCTGTTCTACAATATTTGCTTGGTGTAGGGTAATTGTTTGCTAACAAATTAATCTGTTCTTCCTTTATCTATAGTTAAACTTGTTTTCAAGCAAAGACATTAAACTTGGTATTTACCCAACCATTTGTTTTTGGAAGGCTTAAGAAAATCCCATGAGCTGTTTGAGTGATCATTTCCCCTAAAGAAATAAAACCTGCTACACAGCTACTCATACATTTCAACAGCTGATCTCAAGTTCAATGAACTTTGAAACATGAGATACAAAGTCTTAAACCAGTAAGTACTGTGAAACCACCATGAATACAGCAAACTGAAAGAAGAGCATCAAGTGCTGAAAAGTCTCTAGAATAAACAAAAATTAAAGGCAGCAAAGTCTCTCTGCCAAAACCAGACAGAAGTGCAGTTTCCTTTAAAACCAGTTACTATTAAAGAAATGGGTGTAAAAAACAAACCTGTCACCAGTCTGTACTCCCATGGGGAAACAGTAGTTAAGTTCTAATCGAGCAATGTTTCCAAGTCGGAGCACTATTCCGGCACCGTAAGACCATCGGATATACTCTGCCAACTTCTGCAGGTGAGCTCTGGGACCATCACCTGAAAGCAAAGGAACAAGAGAACAAGAGTCAGAGTAGGCTGTCAAGGTGGTCAAAGGCTAAATGGATTTTCAGAGCTAGAAGACAGACTACTTCGGAGCACCCCCTGCAGGTTCAAAATTTATTTACTACCCACAACTCCCATAAATGCCATCCAAGTACCTTGGACTCAAACTGCAAACTTTGACAATTCTAGCTGGATTGCTAGAATTGTCCCTCCACAGGCTACCTACTTGCATAAATCTGGCAATGAGTACTAAAGACTTAACTAAAAGACTTTAGTGGGTCTCTGTTAGTTTTAAAGTTGATTCATCTGCTTTTTAATTGTGCATAAAGTGTGTCCCTCCCATATGGATGCCACCTCTCTTCCACCAAGCAAGGCAGACATCATATATCCCTGTATCCCCAAATTGATTGAACTGATACTGAAAAATCGTATACTAATACACTGAAATGTATCTTGAAAAAAGTTGGGGCTGCAAGGGAAAAAAACCAAAACACATCAGCTACCACAGCCTCATCTACACTCTTAATGCCACCACTTTTTGTTTAGTTAATCCCAGAAAACATTAGAATCCCACTAAAACATCATCTTCCAATCTCCCATTAGAATGGTGTAAGATCGCAGGTGTTAATCAATTACCACACTGGTCTGCAAACATCACCAATTCACAGATCCTAGTTCTCTTTCCTACAAGTTGTGCTAGAATTTATGTAGAGAGCTAAAAAAAATTACTGGCAATCTGTCAAATATAGAAGTAGTAGTAGCAGCAGCTTTTTGACAGGCACCAAAATATATGCAGTAAACAAACTGCTTCTGACTAAACAGACAGAGAACAGCTCTCCTCTTCTTTTTACTTTCATATATAGAGAAGCAGGTTTTGTTACACAGAATTCTACTGAGTCTTACCGTAGTTAAGATTGCAGAGATTTCCAGCATTAAGGAAGAAATGTGTTCGGAAAAGGTCTCCAAACCCTCCCCGGCCTGGCCGGAAAGGGAGAGGGGTGTACAGATGTAAGCCTCCAGCCCAGTAGGCTTCTCCTCCCAAGTAATCACCTATTCAGGTAAAATGTTGGAATAAAAGCATTTACTGTGGAATATATTAAAAGAACCAGTTGTTAAAGGTACAAAACCACATCCTTAAGTTGTTTTACATTGCACTTCTACCCTTTACAACTCTTGCCACTTGCTTCTAACTCCCTCCAACCTCACCACTATCAAGTAAAAAAATTCACGCTTACACAATTCTTCAAACCTTCCAATCACCACTTTTTCTTCATTCCCTTACCAGAACAGCCTGAGGCATACACCTACTTGTGGTTCATCAGACTACCTCCTGAACACCTCTGCAATGCTTGCCTTAGTTTTAAAAATGGGAAATTGATACAATTAAACAATTAGCTTTAAAATGCACTGAATACTGAAGCCACTGATAACAGCAAGTCAGCAGCAGACTAAGGAATAAAACTGAGGAAGCTCCTGGCTCTTGAAACACTTTTGTTGATCGGATTACCTTTCCCCTAAGGTACCTGAGCATATGGTGTATCAAATAGAGATTTAATGCGACTGTTGCTGTAACCATCTTTTGGGAACTTTTTCAGCTTGAAGGCTGCTTACTAATTAAAGTGACATACTGGAAGTATCCAAGTCTGAACACACACTTGGTTTACAAAATTAGCTTATAGCTTAACTAAGAACTACCAGGTTTTATTCCATTGTGCACTAATATATAACAGATCAAAGACATAACGCTTCTCAGATTCAAAGTGCAGAATGAGTACAATTATTTTTAAGCTATACAAAGCTTAAGGACAGAATTTGATTCTGTGTTACACACCAATGTTTACAGTATTGTCAGAGGAGCAGGATTTAAAAGTTTCAGACCTTCACTCTGGGGTCCAATGCTGTACATACTGAATCCGCGCACACTTGTTGGTCCACCAAGATAAAACCTAGTGAATACAGTCAAATTTAATTTAATGCTTCACTTGAACAACATATTTGAAATTATCTAGCCATACTTCTAACACTGCTTTTCAGAGTTACGGGTAACTTAGTAACAGGTTTAGTAGAGTATATTTAAAGAAATACAAGAAATTATATCTAAATCTAAATTCTGATGCATTTGGCAAAAAAATTCAAAATAAATGGAAGTATTAAAAATACAAATCAGTCTTCCATCATTTACAAAGGTCAAAACTGAAGGTTCCCCAGCACTGAAGGAGAATGAGAATAATGTCTGATTCTGTCTGTTGTAATAATTTTAATAGAAATACTGTAGTTAAGATTTATCACATGTGAAGTTGACACTTAGTATTTATTGTAAATAAATTTAAGTCTAAATGGTTTCTGCTAGTGATCTTTAAACACAGGTGTTAAGAGGGAAAAATTGCCTAGAAAGCCAACATAGTTACAAAACGGCTTTAAATCTTAAAATACCTACAGTATTACCTATGCCTGATACAAAATTTTGCAGATGATAAATACTACTGGTAGGCAGAGCTACTACACAGCACATTATAAATTTACACTACCCCAATATGAAAATCAAAACCAGAAAGCCTGGCTTGAGTATTAACATGCACTCAGTGAAACTATTTAAATAGGTGGAGTTTTAAATTATCACACTTCCAAGCTAACCAGAAACTTATTTTATTCTCCTCAGAACCAGAACTACAACTGTTTCTCTCTTCTGCTACAAAGTTTTCTTTATATATTACCTGGGTTGACTGAAAAAAATGAAGAAACTTTTAAAAAACTTGCCTATCAGCTATACTGGATGGCTTGTCTCCAATAGGTACTAGCATTCCACCCCAAAGCGATGCTGAAAAAACCTTTGGAGAGAGAAAAAGAAGTTGTTTATTAACGCATACTATTTAATTTCCCTAAAAACAGTATTAATAACATTTCATCGCTGAGTAACCATCAGAGCTCCCATTAGTCTGACAGAAAGTTACAGATGATCACAGTATATGCACGGATATCACACCATCAGTATCTGTATTTTCAGGAAACTCTTGATCATTGCTGCCCTCTTTCTTTTATGCAGTGGTACATCTTGAAAAAGTCAATGCAGCAGATTTGAACCAAGTGCTACTTTCACAATAGCTAGAGGGAACACTCATCCAGCTCCGACTTTCTTACGGATTTTCATGTCTTGATATAAGACAGCACTGCTGACATAAATTACTCCTGGCAATTTTAAACCCATAGGAGGCTAAGTCCAGCAAATAGCTACTGAAGATATACAATTATTACCTGTCTGTAAATTAGCCTTACAATTAAATGAAACCATCTTCTGCAGCTCACTACATTGACATCAAATACGCATACATCATTACTTCTTATCTATACAGTAATTATTGGGGGCCAAACCACCGTAATAAGGAAATTTAATCATCTGCCTGCTGCCTATGTACCAAGTAGAAGTACTAATGCCAGATGGTGAGCTCTATTGTCAACACCTAGGGTAAAGGTTTTGGATAATTTCTCTAATTTTACAGCACACTCATGCTGCCTTCTGCCCTGAGAGTCCCCAGATGGCTCCCCTGCCATTATCAGATATGAACTCATCAGGCGGTATATGCACATCTGGTTACACAATTTGTGGCATATGCAAAAGCCAGCTGCATGCAAGTCTACACCCACGAACAACAACAGATGACATAAGCTTATGTACACCACGTGATGAGACAGGCTTCACGTTCACAATGTAGGCATATTAGCATTCATGGGAAAGAGCAAAGTCCTTCTTTGCGTAGCCATGAAGCCATTTGATTACTTCATAGGAGAACACACTGTCTTTCTCAAGTGAAGATCAGCAAATAAAAGTCAGATGACTAGAAGTGTACTCATCAGGCAATGCCTTTTCTTTCACCACATGGAAGGTGCAAATATAATGACGTAATAAGAAGAAGGTATAGCAAATAGCCTCAAAATACCATTCTGTGTTGGCCTCATTGGTCTTAACTCAAGAGCTTCATGGCACTGAGTCGCCTCAGAACAAAAGCATGAAAGAGCAGACTGACAGATCCTTACAGTTCATTAGCATCTGCACTACGGAAGTAGCTTGGAGTTTTTCAGTTGTACTGTTGACATAATGCTAACATTCTTCCAGTCTCCTGGAATTTCTTCATTATTCCAATACCTCTTAAAAAGCTTTCAAGACGCAGAGATCTTCTCAATGCTGTTTTGTTTTGGGGTTGTTTTCTTAGTATGTTGGGATGCAAATTATTGTAACCTTTGATGTTTAAATCTCCGTAATGGAAGTTGCTGTTTAATTCCCCATTAAGCTATGAGACAAGAACTTACTGCACTATCTGCATGTGATAAAGAACTTCTTTCTAAATATACAGAAATGTTTCTAGTATATAGTTAAATTCTTATTTCACTAAGCAGAAGAACACCTATTTCCACCTAACACAAGCTCTATGCTGTTAAAGATGCCTGAAACTTAATGCCTCTGTATTCTCATAAGAAGCTGGAGTACATTAAACATGAACTTAGAGTGGAGTTATCCAGTGTCGTTTCCTCTGAAGGAAATCTAGTTGGTATACACAAGAACTGCTCTGCCAACCAAACCAAGACTTCTAAGTGATGATGATATAGGAATTTGCTTCAAAACCACACAGTGATTCCAAACCAAAGTACTAATGTAGAGACCACACCATAAAGTCTGTGATGTTCTCTGCCTATATGGTGGCAGACTGGGATCTCATATAAACCCCATGCATCTTTCTTATTGGAACTCAAGTCATTCATTGTGCATAAGTTCAAAATGTTGTAATGCAAGCTGAGTGTTGCAGTCAAATAAGCCTTCCCATTCTTGCCCAATAACTTTACACAGAAGAAATAATCGCTTGCTATGATACCAAAATTAGTAGTCACATATTCATAATTTACAATGACAAAAGAAAACTAAACCAAGATTAGTCAGAATATTCATAACCAGGTGAAAGAGACAGAACAAAGACTGTGGTAAGCTTCTGAAAAATCACTCTTAAGAAAGATCACAAAGAACAGAAATGCCCAACATTACTTCTGAACAGAAAACAGTTCAGATGGTTAACTGCCAAACAAGTCGTTCTTTCCAAAATGCCCACTTCTCAAGTGACTCTGCATGGCAGGAACGTCAGGTTAAAAATAAAGAGTATTTCACTTTCAAAAAATAATAAATAAATCAAGGTATCTACACCATCCATCCTTCTTTCACTTCCATGATCTTTTTCTAATCCATAGTGAAAAATCACTGTAAGACATAGATTCAAAAACCTCATCTGTTAAACTCAGATCAATTACTAAATTATCTTTAAAAACATTACCGAATCCCAGATAAGTTGCTTATTCCACTGAAATTCAAAATCCTCTTTTAGAAAGCTCACGTCTCCACCTGTATAGCCAGCCAACTCCTGCAAAGACAGAAGTTTATGAAAGTTGTAATGGATTTTACATGTTTCTTCCCCCTAAACGTTCATCATGTCTGCATCAGTGTGAGCAGTGTTTTCTGTACAAGAAATACAGATACATTGGTATGGAAAGACAACTGAATTTTGGACCAATGAAAAACCACGCATAACCCTCAGAACAATGAGTTGCAATTTTCTCTTCCAAATACTAAACCAAGGTATTGCGTTTTAAGCCATTTTTTGTAAATGACAGCAAAATAGAATGGAGCTGGAAAATTCAGCACTCAAAATCAAAACTCTACCTAGACCTGAGAAGATTTCATATGTACTAAAGAAAGGCTGAGGAACTAGACAGCTGGTTGCATTACACCAGTGCTAGCTGAAAATAACAAGTGAAGTGACTGAATCAGTGTTAGAGGCAGCATCTAACAAATGATGTGTTAACTAAGCCCTGAATTATAACCACCTTTCTCACTCAGAAACAGAATAGTTCACTGCTGCTTATAGGAACACTAGCACTTCTAGTTCCAATGACATTTCAAAGCAATCTGCTTCTAAAGCACTGCAGAAGTTAATGCTCTCTGAAGTATTAACCCATACAGCAGAAGAAACAGCTTTTCTCAAAGCTCTGAAAGTAACAAGAGCAAAAACCATTTTCTGCGCCAAAATAATGCATGTGTATGCCTTTGAGAGTTATGTTTTAGCCAGTCTCATCTTTACTTCTAAGACTTACAAACTTTCTAAGTAGCAACAGTCTACTGTGGTCTAACTACCACAGTCTGGTAGTCTTACATTACACTTTTAGAAAACAAGGACGAATACCTACTGTAAAGTGTAGAGTAAATACTGTCAGGGATAATGTATCTCAGCTAATAATTAATTTAATGGTGAGATAAAATGGCTGTGCTGTTTGACCCATGGTATACAAATGAAAAATTGCCACCATAAAAAAGGTTTCATGATTTTAAAAGGCACACACTGTAAAGATAAAAAGTAAATACTGACCATCACTGCCTCCTAGTCAATTTACGATTAATTTCTAACTTCAGACTTTTTTAATGTGAACATCAATTAGATAAATTGAGACTTACTCAAACACACAGACAAAATCCAGTAACAGTAGAAGTGATGTAATACTACCTGATTAATTTTTAGCAAAGCACCCCGTCTTGGCAAGATTGAAGAGTTCCGGGAATCAATTACCATAGCATGCTGCAAAGAATCAAATAATTATTTTTAGGTTCTTGCATCTGTTGAAAACCAGAGTGACACTACTATTTTCCTTCAAAAACTGTGCACACAGTAGAAGACAGCCACAGCTCCAGCTAAGTCTGGTGTAACTCCATGGATTTGGGAACAGTGTACCTACAGACTAAATTAGTTCTGACTTTAGAAGCCACATCAAATACATATATATATTTATACCTTTCAGCTATGGTACACACCAGAAATATATCAGCAACAATATTGCGACAGTAACCTGCAAATAGTTTATCCCCTACAATTTGTAAGCTACAAGTTAAAGATGACAAGTGACCAAAAACTGGTATAGGAAAGAATATTTAGAAAGCGCAATAGCAACTGTAGGATAAGAAAATTTACTGATCCTGTCTACTACAAAACAAGACAATTCTGCAAAAAGAGACGGCAGATGACACGGAAGGAGGCCCTGCAGAAAGAACAAGCCAGCTTAAGCAACAGTTAACCACGAAAACATGTTTTCTGTTTGGTCCTCCTGGATGACTCCGTGTGAATGACAAAACACAACAAAAGATATCTACTACCTACCAAGACAAAAAGCTCCTTTGGTATCATTCATAAGTATTAAATGACTCAAAATAATATGTTTTAAAAAATTATCAGGAAAAAGCCTTACAGAGAGAGAAGATTTAAGAGAGTGTCCACTTTCTTCTCGAACGGAAAAGGATGCTGTTCTGGCAAGGCAGCCCAGCTCTCTCCACACACCCTCCCACTTCAGTGTGTGATTGGTCTTCCAGATTGGAAACTACAAATAAAGAATCGAGTAAGACATGAAAAAAAATTTTGCTACAAAATTAAAATAGGTATTTCCCTGAAAAATTTTTCTCTCTCAAGTTTATTTATCCATCAGTCTACTACAAATAAAGAATCGAGTAAGACATGAAAAAAATTTTGCTACAAAATTAAAATAGATATTTCCCTGAAAAATTTTTCTCTCTCAAGCTTATTTATACATCAGTCTATGCTTTTTCTTTCCAAACTTCTTGGATCAGAGAGAAACCCTTTTTCATTTCAGAGTAGTGCTAATTCTGCTCCAGCCAAGAGAGTTTCTCCAAGTAGGTGCACATCCTCAATGAAAAATACCTTGAATTGGGCTGATACAGTGAGCTAGGCAACCAGCTGCCTCTCTGAAATTATACTTTAAACATTAAAAATTTGGAGAAAAACACATTGGAATTTTTTTAAGTGGCCAAAATAAGACTGAATTCTAACAAAAAGACTAAGGTGCATTACCTCTGTCGTTTTAAAATTGTTGACCACTTTCAAATAATGACAGGTTAGCCCTGTGCACAAGTGTTTCAATCACTAAAAAAGTGAACCAAAGGTGTGTGAAAGCCAGCTGTGACCTGAATTAAATGTAAATGAAGTATATGTTCCACAAACACCTGTGCTACACTTACATTAAATTCTGTCGATATTCCTCTATCAGTTTCACGAAGAGAGCTCCAAGGGAACTGCCCAGTTACTTTATACACGTTAACTGAAAAACTGAAACACAACATTACTGGTAGGTTTGAAAGTGAAACTATTTAAACAGGTGGAGTTTTAAATTATCACAAAAACTTAAGAAACCAGCTCTGCTACATAATTAACACACCCTGAGCAAAGGAATACATTTAATTATTACTCAGCGAAAGATCTTATTCATTGTGTTATATTCCTTCACTAAAAAAAGTAGTACTCAAAAATGCATCCCCTACTTTCTTTCAAAGTTTCCAGGCTGTGGTTTGAAGAATGACAGGCCATATGAAGTTTCCTTTGTTCCGTAGGAGAACTGGAAGGTTACCTTTTCTGCACGTCCAAAGAGATTTGGGAACTTGAGCCCAAGTACCTACGAAAAATAAAAAAAACCCACAACATTTCATATAGTCTGTTGTCTTCTTAATTGTATGCTGAAGACTTGAGCCCAAGTACCTACGAAAAATAAAAAAACCCCACAACATTTCATATAGTCTGTTGTCTTGCATCTTAATTGTATGCTGAAAACAAGCATATCTACCATGACAATGAGAAATGAAGACATTAAAATCAGCTGTAACTGAATGTGTTTTTCTTTTAAGTTAGGTTTCTCTTTGCACTGGCAGCAAAAGCCATCACAATAGCACAAGTTACACTTAATCATCCAATTTTTATTGCTGTCCTGTAGCTGCTGACCTAATCTGCATTCTCACTGTGTCATCAATACTGCTATTATTTCAAGCAAAATCTCCCAGCCACTCTTAAAGCCCAGGACAGTAAGTTTTTGGCATAATAAACAGATGCCCTGCAACTGTGGAATTCCCAGCTGATCATCAGGAAAACTACTTGACAGGTAGGGTCATCAGAACCTCAGCAATAAGCCGATGGAAAACTGTCAATACAGAGTCACTCCCCTGTATTTTTTTTTTTTGAGTAACAAGACGCTTTTGCAGTCAGTCCTGACAGCAGTATAACATACCATTACAACACTACAGAAACCTGCTAAACACTTTTGCCTGCCCTGACACAAATTCCTTGTATCCTTTGACAGCTCTTGGCCCTTTGGCAGAAAGGATGGACCAGGTTTCCTCCAAACACAGACACTACCAGGACTGTTCTGTTGTTGTGTGTTCTATTTTAAAAGAATGTAAAAAAGCTATCAGATCCCGACTGCCTTTGTCTAACAGATAGTGGAAGCAAATCAGTCACCAGAACTTTGTGATGATGGCTATCATGCAATTATCCAACTAACCAGAAACCACTAATCCGAAGGGCTATTAGTATGAAATATTAGATCTATAGGCTACAGATGAATTTAAAGGATTAGAATAAATGTCAAATCTATGTAACTCTTAAGGAAACATAATATCTGCTGCCAATACCAGTGTATACGAGTCATGCTTTTATATCATTCAAGAGTTTTACCTCCCTGTAACAAATTAAAATCAAATAGAGGGGGAAGCTGAGTACGAAAAGAGAAACCACGGCAGCTTTCAGACTGTTTTCAAATGTGCTAGAACTGAGAGGTAGGATTCCCCGCTGGTTTCGTTCAGGGCACGACACCCTGGACATTGCTCTCAGCAGCGGAGCTGCATAAGCAGCTCTCAACTCACTGAGTTCCTATTCTCCCTGCACTTGCAAAACACCATCACCTGAGTCATGCAGTATCTTATCCAGGTTAAAAATACCCCTAAGAAGAAAAGGATGAGTCCCTTGATCTGGCTTATCTACCAGACCCAGGCACAGCTGCACTGTGCACATGAGAAGGCAGAATGGGTGCAGGAATGAGCACCTGAAAGCATGATCTACTTACACCAGCTTGTCTGTTAAAAGGTCATTAATGGAACAACAGTACGGCTGTAACTTTTTCTGTCAATTGGCAAATATTTTTCGCACTACATTTTAATCTGATGCATCCTTAATTGAATCAAATGGAAAAAAGTTCCACAGTTTGTATTGTTCTAGAAAACCTTGCATTTTGCAGCCCAGAATAACTGGTAAAAAAACCAAGAACAATTTCTAAGTCAAACATAAAAAGCATTTCAACTGAGAAGAAAAACACTTGAAATAGATCTCATAGAAACTAAATGCCAAACTCCTTCCTAATCTCTCCAGTAGCTAAAGCATCTTAAATATTATCAAGAAATAATTTAAGTCATTTTAAGAATTAAAAAACTAACATACCGAGTTGGAAGCTAAAGCATTCTTCCCTAGCTCAAAATAGGCTTTTGCTGAATGAAAGCCTGACTAATACAAAGACTCTTTAGAGACAAAAGTCTGGCAAAGCCTTAGTAAAGCTGGATCAAGAAAATAATTTGGCTTCGATCAAGTCCTCACTTATTTAATCACCAAATTCCTTGCTAGGTTTGAAACATGAAAGAAGAATATCAAAAGGAACTAATAATTATTTGAAATAATCCATACCATACTGCCTTCATTGTTGCCAACCATAGTATTATAGCTCCCAGTTAGTCTTCTCAATTCTGTTACCTCAAAGGTTACATCTAAACCATTTGGGAGGGCATCATCTCCTACATTAAAAAAAAAAACCAAAACAGAAGTATGTTATCTCTAAAAAGCTACTTAAAAAATGCAGACAGAAGACGACTTGAATTATTTGAACAATGGTTGAATTAAATGATAATAGAAGTCTACATTACAAAGAAAAATGGCTTGAGAAAAAGATGTCCTTTGGACACTAGTGCAGGATTTGGTTCAGTCACGGCATGATTGGCTTTAATCACCAACATGTTAATTTAATTACAAAGTAGTAACATTTGTTTGTTACCTACCCACTAGAAAACAAAGATGTACACAAATTCTCACATTAGAATAAAGAGAAATTAAAATGGTCCAGATATGGCAAGAGGAACGCCGTCACTACGGCAGAGCTCCCAGCGCTCTGCAGGTAGGTGCTGAACAACAGAAACCGCCCGGTTCCCTCAGGGCTCCAGCTTTGTCAGCTGCTCCAAAACGCAGCTGTCAAGGGTACCTAATTCTGCTTGAAGCAGATGGGACAGTATCCCATCACCAGCAACCTGTGGGACTGCACTGCATTTCCTTTCCAATAGCACAACTTTCCTCTGCTGAAGAGAACAGCAACACATTTGAAAAGCAACCACAAGCCCCAGAATGCCCCCTGAGCCTTACTGTGAAACCTGCATAAATTCAGCTGCCCCATGTATACTATAAGCCAATTTTTAATCACAAGCACTGATACAATTACTAGTATTTCCTAAGCACCAAGGATGTGCTCACAGAATGTCAGTTATGTGACGTGTAATACATGGAAATATTTTCAAGGACACATTTTCAAGCTTTTTCTCAAGTGGTCTTCTGAAATTTTGGACTAAGGGTTGTGTACTGTAATTATTTTAGTGGTGGAAATGCCACTCATTTTTGCACGTGCAAAAATAATATTTATATACACATACACATATATAGACACATGGCCAATACATCTTCTTCAGAAGGATAATGGATGTAGACATGTACGTTCATATATATAGCACACCCACCTGTACATAGGTATATGAGAGAGTAAGTTACATACATAAAAAATCTTCAACCTGCTACACAGGAAAATAGACATTATAGGTATGCATGTGTCTATGTCTGTATGAGGAAAAAGGTGAGGATTAATGAGGCAATACATACCTTGACAGGTATCAATCAGAACCTCTACCTGTCTAAAGATTCCTAGACGAAGCAACTTTTCACGGGCTTCATGTGATTTTCTCATCACCTACAGGATGAGATAAGCAGCTCGGTCTTTCAGGTTATTAAAACACAACTAGGATAAAATAGTTAAAATGCAGCTAAATCATACAATATTCACAGATTTTGTATACAAACACACGTATATGCGCCTTCAAAACAGATCATAGCCATTTTAACACGTGAATCTGTAAAGAAATAAATCAAACTCAGAGCATCCAGCTCAATTCCTACCTTCTGTTAGTTTTCATCCTATTTGTTATAAACCTTAAACCTATTACTCAAATACGCTTCAGTACTTAAACTTATACAACCATTTACAGGGCCCATGCTTTTCGCAAAAAAATTAAACACCCTAATCTCTTTAAATTTAGACTAATTTACAGGTTTAATTGCCAGCCGTACCCGAGAAGGAATCACCACCTAAAAGTGTGAGGACATACAGCCTAACTCACACTTTGATCCACTGTGGAGACTGGCATCAGTTATCTGTGCCGAGATCCAATAGTTTATCTTAAGTAAATTAACTGAAAGTATCACCTACACAGTTAGCAATTCTCAAATGGGGAGAGTGAAGCTGAAAAAAATATCTGAGAGGACTCTTTGCCATCTCACAACGTCTTTGAGCTGAATACACCAGAAAATACAGTATCTGCCATTATTTAATACTTAAGTTTGGCTTCCGTATCACAAGATCAGAACCATCACAAAACTTGACAAAGTTGCCCCATTTCTGAAGGGAGTAGCCCAAAGCAGGAAAAAAGAGAAAATGGTAACCTGAATTTTTAAACAGTAGGTCTGATGTTCACTGCAGTACTTACATCAATGAGATTTTTAGCCTTGAAAACATCAGATATTTCATACATGATAATGTCATCTTTGGTCCTTCCAAGTCCATCAAAGTGCACATGCTGAACCACCACCTAAGCAGAACAGATGTTTAAACACAAATACTGAATTTGCATCTAATAATGAGTACCAAAATCACCCATGCAGAAAGAAATATTGTTGTCCAGGTGAAAAACCCTGAAGATTCCCAGGCGAATTACTGCTAACCTACATTATCAGAAATCAGAGCTATCAGCAATTCTGGAAAGTTTTTCTCTTAACACGAAAATTAAAGAAAAAAATTACTCTAATACCAAAGCTAATACTGGTTATAGCAGAAGACCAGTAACAGACTGTAGGAGCTGGGATTTTAGTTGTAAGTGTTGTATGGACAAATAAGTCACTGCAGAAATCACACTGAGATATTAAGACATGTAAGACAAAATGTGTAGTTAGTCGAAGGTAGCTATTTCTTGTATCACCTACACAAAAGCAAAGAGTTAGAAGAAAAACCAAACAAACCTACAAGCCATAAATATTTGAACTCCATTAAAATTATTAGTACTGCTGGAGCACTGTAGTTTAAAATGCATATTAAGATCACTAGCATTATGAGGTTTTATATTTTCTTAAAATCATTCATCTTGTTATGTAATCATCTGAGATAATTTTGTCTTAAAAATCAGAACACACTCCAGGTTAGCTAGTACAAAGGGACTACAGTGACTGCATTTCCCTTATTTTTCCAGCTGTTTCAGTGTATTATAATTTTAGGGGTAAGCGTCAAAGAAAACACTCTGCAAATGCTTTATGTATTCACATATATGAAACCAGCAGAATACGAGCAATCTAGCATTACTAAAAACCGCTTAAAACCCCCCTATCAGAATATATAGGTAATGAACTAAATAAAAACTGAATGTTATTACCAAGCTTCTAGTGAGGATGACTGAATAGCCTAAGGGAAAGGAAAATTTTAATAAAGACTAAGATAACACATGGTATCTCACCCCTCTAGCATGGCTAAATGTATGGGCCAAGACAGACATGCTCTTGTACGTGAAATATTAAAAAAGTTACTATCCTCTGATTACATTAGTATTTCCCTCAGTAACGTAATTCACATGGTGGCACTTCACCCTATCCTGGCTAATACTGGACTCTAGCAGATTAAGGACAGTTGCTTGGTTTGCTCCTAAGCAGTGCTGCAGAGGCAGTAATCTCTTATGAGAGGGAGAGGACAGCAGCATCTGGAAACAGGTCTATTAGCTCAAAGCTGAATTTTAACAACAACTCCTGCGGCTGGGAAAAAAAGAACAGCATCTAGACAACATCAGATTAAAATCACAGTACTAAACTTAATTCTTTCACATCTCAAACTATCATTTAGAAAGTTCCCTTAGGAAAAACAAGCACGCAAGGGTGCCAAGATGTTTCTCTTGAGAAAAACATCAGGATGTTGTTCAGGTACTTACATCTTTGTTTTCGAGAATTTCCTGCTTGGCCTCAGGTTCAACTTCAACCAGTTCAGCTTCCTCTCCCAAGGCACCAAAGTCTGGCCCACCCATTGGAAGAGGCTCCAAACTCTGAAAGCATGAAAGAAAACTGCATTTAATATGGTAGGCAGGTTTGTGATTTATGCCTTTTGCAAAGGAAAACAACCATGGTTCTTGACACTGTCCTCATCAGATCCTAAGTGAAAAAAAGCAGAAGAGAAGAACAAAAAATGAAGGGACCTACCAGCACACTTCTTACCTACCTGCTTGCTGAAATTTTTAATAAAAGCTGAGTTACTTTCACGTTTAATGATTTCTCAAAAATATTCTGCACTCTTCCAAAAATAACCTTATCTTTAAGGCATGCTTCCTATTGTTAAAGATGAATTCTACCTTCTTTAAAAAAAAAAAATCTAAAGTATCAGGGTGTCACTACTTAGTTTGGGTTTTTGGGAGAGAGAGGAGCATGAATGTTGAACAATAATAAAAAAAGTGTTTTCAGCATGTCTTGCTTTGCATATATTTATATGCTTTTTATTTTAATATTTATTTTAAAAGTATCCTTCCAAGTAATGCTCAAGAACCTCAGGCCCTATCCATCAGAGGTGAACATTTTAATCAAAATGGTTTCCAGCACAGCATGGCTTTATTTACTATACCTGAAAGAGTCCTAAAATAAGACATATCAGAAGATAACAGATTCAAGCAACAGTGAATACTAGGTTACCTGCAAAAGCAAAGGTCAGGATTGGATAACTCAGTAAATCTACTTTTAGTCTTAAGTCACTAATACAGTACTTGCTGCATTATTTAAGGATAGCTGTTTTGCTGGAATAGTGAATTGCTATTACGTATCAGAATCAAGTTAAATGAACACAGAATCCTCTCTTACTCCCGATGTTTTTCAAGCAACCACGTAACATTCTGCATCCACACAATATCGTGTATCAGTTTATACTACAGATGGATATAAAACCAAGAATATGAGGGGCAAAAAAAAATTGAAATCAAAGTAGTCGTGGTAATCAGACACTCTGGAGCTTTAACAGCCTCCTGCAACAATATATTCCTCAGCCTAATTAAACACTATGTAAAAGCCTGCTGGTTTTTAACAGGCTCACAGGAAAGAGGTATTCTACCTTGCATCTTGAGGAATCATCCAGACTGCTCTTAGCCCCCAGATAGGTCAGTCACTCATTAATCACACCTAGATCACCTACAGTGCAGGGCTGTCTATCCTGAGAAAAGCTTTTCTGATGAAGCCTCGAAGCATGGAGAATCCCATGCTTTCCTAAAGCATTTCAGAGCCTGTATATCCTTATTCTTTGAAATTCTTTTCTGATGTTTAAAACGCAGGTTTTCTCTTGCCACTATAACCACTACTTCTTGTCCTACCACCAACACTTAAATCTTTACCTTCCTTATTTAAGCAATGGTGTATGGATTTGGAGATTTTAGGCTTCCATTCACGCGGATCTCCAAGTGCTTCAGGCACAACAGATCCCTTCAAGCCATACCACTGCTTACTGGGCAAGTGCAAACCTACAACCTCCACTTCACACCGTGAGAGCTGCAGCTGTGGGGGGCAGTTTCTCTTTGCTTCGTGGTCTTTTTTGGCGGTGGGGATTCTTTTTTTTTTTTTTTTTTTTTGGGGGGGGGGGGCCCACATTTTTTTCTGTTTTCATTTATTCTCTTGCCAGCCCCCCACGGCAAAATCAACTCCAACAGCCGCCAGCGAGGAAGGAAAGTCCCGGGAAGGGAAAGGGAAAGGAAGGGGAAGAGGAAGAGGAAGAGGAAGGTAAGGCGCCTGGGGAACCAGGCCCCGGGGTGCCGCCGCCCGGGCCTACATGGAACCCCTCAGACAAGGCGGGGCGGGGCACGGCACGGCGAGGAGGCCCGATCCTGACCTCGGTCCCAGCTCCGGCAAACCGCGCTATACCCGACGGAGAAGCGCGGCCGGCGCTC